GGGATAGAAGCCAGGACTCAGACCCACGCGCTGTGATATGTAATGCAGGCATCCCAATCAAGTGACATAATGGAATGTAACAGTATATGCTCTCCCTATACAAAGTGAATGTTTTAAAAGCTATGCATAGAGGCAGTGGTTAAGTTGGCAGATGTGACTATTGCATTCATTGGGATGCCTGATTCCAGGCGCAGTTCCAATCCACCAGGATAAGCTTCCTTCCGAAGTGTCCGGTGGGCAGAGTCAGAAGATGGGTCAGGTTCCGCTAGTGTGTCCCGCCAGAGACCCAGATTGAGTACCTGTTCCCAGCTTCCACTTGGTGCAGGCAAGCATTTCGGGAGTGAAACAGCAGCAGATGGAATGTGTGTCTAAGACTCTCTCTCGTCTCTCTAGAGGTTCCCGTAAAATGAAAATAAATAAATACCCAGCCGTAGTGTTCATTTTGAAGATGTTTCAAGATCAAGTGACCAGTAATGAGCTGCTGTACATCTGGGATCAGTCAATTGGGTGATGAGGTTTGTAACCGTGAATTCCAGGGGGCATGGGAGGGGGAGGAGGAGGGGGAGGGGGGCGGGGCCCCACCTGCAGGGCAGCAGCTTGAGCGCCCGCTCGTACAGCTGGTTCAGCCTGGGCTTCGGGGCGCCCTGTTTGAACTCGATGTAGCGCAGCCAGCATTTGACGGAGAACTGGTTCCGCATGATCTCCTCCTCGTAGGGGAGGTCCTCTTCCTCCTGTAGGGGCCGGGAGGAAGGGAGATCTGCCCTCAGAGCCGGGAAGCAGCGCCACCCCTTAGGCCCCCCCAGCCCACCGTCCGAGCCAGGTCATCACACACCCAGACTCCTCAGACCGCCAGGCTTCCAGACATAACGCTGTCACCAGGACTCGAGTCCTCCAAATCCCGCCACCCACCCTCTGTCCCAGGTCACCAAGACACCAGGGCCCTGGTCTACACGTCGGACTTGTGAGCAGCACAGGACAGTATCTCCTCACTGCATGCCTCTCCCCAAACGCCAGGTGCTTAGACTCTCGCACCTGACGCCATCTCCACCTCGGCCACAGGAACTGTCAGGTGCAGCTACTAAGTCATTGGCCCACAGCCAGTGTCTGGCTCAGCTCTGCCCCAGAACCTGGAAGCTAGGTCTTTATTTCAGAAGGTATGGGCCAGACACGGAGCCCCTAACCCCTGGACGCCAAGAATCTCGGGGTGATGCCAGGCCTCTACTCGGACATCAAGACTTCCGCCCGATAAGCTCCACACCGCAGGGTTCCCCTAGCTCGGGCAACAAACCGTTACCCCAGAAATCAGAGCCCTGGCCTGGTCACCAACTCTAATTTTCAAGGCCCACTTGGGCGAATCCTCCTCCCGTTTCCCGTGCGCCGCCATTTCAGCCTTCAACCCGAGACGCCAGGCCCTTAACCTCCACAGCAGTTCTTTATGCAGGCCACCGGGATCCGGGCTCGACCCCGGAGCTCTACTCCTGGCCAGTCCAAGACAGACATCACTAGCCGGCCTCTGGCCCGTTAGGGTCCCCTAGCCTTTGCGTTCCCAGTTTTGGCCTAAGTCCCCCGGAAGGCCATGCTCCCATACCTCAAGACATTCAGGTGCATATATCCCTACAGGGGCCACCCCTACCCCAACGCGGACTCACAAAGACAAGATCCGGCCGCTCGGGCCGTGAGATGCGCGCCATCACCACCATTTTCCTAGCTGTCCAGGTAGAAGCGAGAGTCGCGCACTTATGACGTCTCCTATGAAAAGTCCCGCCCCTCGAGCCAGACCCATTTTCTATTGGCTGAACGCTTCTTGACAGCGCGGCCCTCGGTGTTGACTTCCGTGTAGGCGCCGCCAGTGACCGGAAGTCGAGTAGAGGCGCCTGAAGATTACGACATCCTGGAGCTCATTGACCAATCACATCAGCAGTGTATTTCGCGAAACACCAGTGAACTGCTGTCTTGCTGGAGAGTCCGCTGTGGGCGGAAGTGGCTTTATAGACCTGGAGAAACGGAGATGGGGGTGAAGCTGGAAGTGTTTCGGGTCAGTGAGCACAGGTGTGGGTTGGGAGGCTGCATCGGGGGAACTACGGAGAGGAAGTGCCCTGGGAAGAAAGCTCTCGAGACTGGAAAGGGCCTTTACGTTTGGAAATCCAGAGGAGGGGGCGGCTAGGTTGAGGGGCTCGGAGTGGGGCGCCCGGGTTGGGGGCTTTGGGAGCCTTGATCTCGTAGGGATTGGTGAGCCCAGGACGGGGCTGTAAGAAGGAAAAGTTTCAGATCCTGAGGGGACTCCTGGGCTCATGGTGGGCGTGGTTGTGGCTCTGATTGGGTGACCCTAGTAGTCTTAGGGCAGGAAACGTGCGGAGAGGCCTCCGGGGGTTTCAGGTGCTCCAGGTATCTGAATGAGGGGGGTGGGTGATGAGGTTTCGAGGGGGTACCTTTGACTGTCATAGGAGCAGCTGCGGCGCTAGGAGCAGTTGCGTGTGTGCCTGTGCGTTGCACATGTGTGTCTTCGACTCGCAGCCTGGAGAGGGTGGTCAGGGATAAGGACTCTGGGGTGATGTGGGGTGAGCTTTTAAGGTGGGAGGCTTCTGCACCCTTGGTGGCGATTTTGGAGCACCTGGGCTGGGCAGGGGGGTGGGCCGTCCGTTCTCAGCCACGCTGCGTGTTACCGGGGGTGGTAGTAGCCATCCCAGCTTCTACTCACCCGCCCACCCCCAACTCTGCAGATGACGCTGTACCTCACGTTCCCTGTGGCAATGTTCTGGATTTCCAATCAGGCCAACTGGTTCGAGGACTATGTCGTGCAGCGCAAGGTGGGCACCCGGAGGAGTGCTCACGGGTCAGAATGCCCCGGGGTGGGGGGAGGGGATGGGACAGGAACCTACCGGGGGACCCATGTCTGCCTCTCTTGGTTCAGCACTGCCCTGGGCGCGGGGCTGGGGAAGCTCCTGGCCCGCGCCCTTGTCTGTGACTTTGTCCCCACAGAGAGAGCTGTGGCCACCGGAAAAGGAGGGCCAGGTAAGCAAGCTACTCCCCCTCCCCCCAGGTGCCCCTGGCTGTGATGGTGGGGGTGGGGCGGTCCCCACTGGACATGGAAGCCGTGGCCTGAGGAAGTAGGGGAGAAGATGGTGGGAGAGGGGCCCAGGTCCCGAGCCGCGTGCCCACCTGCTTCCCCTCCCCCAGCGCCAAGAGCTCGAAGAATTCAAAGAGAGGATCCGGAAGCAGCGGGAGGAGAAGCTGCTTCGCGCGGCCCGGCAGGGCTCCTGAGGCCGCCCCTCCACCCCACAGAATAACACAAACTCAGTTCCGCGTGCTGCTCGCACAAGTGTTTTATTGCCTTCTCTCGGGGGCCGGGGGTGCCAGGACAGCTCAGGGGGCTTGTGTCTGGGGCTGGGGGCTGCTGTTCCTGCGGAAGCTGAGAGCACTCGGGTCCTGAGGGGTGAGCAGGGGTTGGGGACTGAGGGTCCCAGCTCGTTTCTGCACGCCGTCCTGTGGATGAAGAGGGGGAAGGCGGTGTAGGGGGAGGTCAGAGCCAAGGGCAATGCAGCGGGCGCACAAACATGGGAGAAAGGGTGTGGGCAGGAACCCACCTCCCGGTGCGCGACCACCCTTCTGCCCCTGTGAGCGCTTTTCTATTGCCCGCCATTGAGGGTGGTATTTGGATGCTGGGGCTGTCTCCAGGATTCTGTTCAGAACCCAAGCTGTGCATGAGTGGGTACCTGCAACACTCAAGTGCGTCCCAAGTGCATCCCGTGTCCTCCTCCCCCCCCCAGCCTCTCCAAAAACCCTCAGACTCGGGCATGACCTGGGCCCCCGTCCTGACCCTGTCTGAACCTTAGCTGGGCAGGTGAGGGACACCACCAGGACATCACCCACCTTAGGGCCCACGGGCTGGAAGCCAGGCAGGGCACTGATCGTCACACGCTGGTCATCCATGCGGCGGCCCTGGGTGCTGGCCAGCATGTCCATGAGACTGTCCATCTCGGGTGTGGGGCTGCCCTCTGCGGGCAGCAGGGCTGCATGGGGGTGGACACACATGCCGACTCTAGAACACACAGCCCACCACCGCGCCCCCGTCTGCACCCCCACACTGCACCCCAGGCCCACACTCACGGCTCTCGGGGGCCTGGCTGGGCCCGGCCTGCAGCGAGCAGCGCTGCTCCTCCATGCGGTCGCCCTGCACGTGGCTCAGCAGGTTGAAGAAGCCCTCCTGGTCCGGGGAGCCCGCCTGGGGACACACACACACGCTCAGTCCAGTTGGCCCCTCAGCCCGGAGCCCATGCACAGGGCCCACTCCCCTCTCCCTCAGCGCTCACCATGGTCCCTGCCGGTCTGCTGCTCGGCGGAGCTGCTCCAAATGAGACAGGAGCCTCCTGCGCAGGCCCCGCCCCGGGGGCCCCAGCCGGCAGCCACTTCACGTGGTGCCAACAACCCCAAGGGACAGGCCGCCAGGGCTGGTGGCCCCCTGTCCTAGATTGGGGCCTGACTGGGGGACAGCCTGCAGGCTGATACGGGAATCTGGGGAACTGTACCCAGGGGCTGCCCCGAAGTGCCAGCACCCTCCCCCGCCCCACTCCTGGGGTCAGCAGAGGAGCCCTGCCCTCTGTCACGGGGCCATGGTCAGGCCCTTAGACCCTCATGTCCACCAGCACCTTCCCATGGCAGCAACTGGGTCAGAGGTCCCAGGAGGACTGTCTCTCTAATTAGATGTCCTACAAATTAATTAGTCCTGTCAATCATAGGCTCTGAGACCTTGAGGGGTGGGGGTGGGGCCCCCTTACCTTGGTGAGGGGGGCTGACCCTCCCTCCTCTGCCTTCTCGTCCTGCTCCATCACCGTACCTGTCCCCTCCCCTGGACTCTGTCCACCTTTTCCACTGGCCTCTGCCCGCGCCCCACACCAGACAGAGCCTTTTAAATGACCGTGGCATGAGGGTGGGCGGGCGCCCCCTCCAGCCCCAAATCCCCGGCTCATGTCCCATCTGCTCCCACCCAAGCTTAAGCCCCATAAAGATGATCCAGATAATTGTCCGCCCCGGACAATGCTGGATCTCGCGCGGGGGGTAGGAGGCAGGGCCACCTGGACTCCGCGGACTCCCAGGTGGGGTATCCCCACAGCTGGGGAACACAGGCCGCCCGTGGGAACCATGGGGATGTCCCCGCTCCAGCCAGCCAGCTCCCCCACCGCACCTGTCGCCTTGTTCCTGGCCAGGGGTGGGGAAAGACGAAGCCAAAGCCTCCCCACCCTCCTGACCCTCAGGAACCACCGGCCAGCCTGGCTCCCATGGTGCCGTCTCCCAGGCGGTGATTCCCATAGGTCTCCTGGCCACCCTCCCCTCTACTCACTGACCCTGGGGTCTGGGTGCCGACTCCAGCTTCCAGAACAACGACGTCTGGGATTTGCTGTCACCCAGCTACCCACATGGCAAGCTGAGCCGTCTCCTCTGATTCATCACTGGCTCCAGGAGTCGAGGGGCGCAAGTCTACCCCAGCTGCAGCTTCCCCTCAGAGCCCTAGGAGGGGTGCCCGTCCCCAAGATGCCTTTCTCCAAACCAGTGGCAGTTTCTTTCCAGGAAAAACAGGCGGTGTTATCACTGCACCTGCTCCCATCCAGCTCCCAAGTTCTTTTTTAAAAAAATGATTTTTATGTGAAAGGGTGTGAGAGAGATCTCCCAACTGCCTGTTCATTCCCCCAAGTGCCCACAACAGCTGGGACTGGGCCAGCCTGAAGCCAGGAGCTTGGAACTCCATCTGGGTCTCTCGTGCAGGTGGCAGGGACTCCAAATATTTGAGCCATCATCTGCTGCCTCCCGTTGTGCACATTAACAGGACGCTGGAATCAGGAGTGGAGCTGGGACTTGAACCCGGGCACTCTGATACAGGATGTGAGCATCCAAGTGGGGTCTTAACGTTGCACCCTAGGCCACACCAGGTGCCAAGATTTTTTTTTTATTTATTTACTTGAAAGGCAGAGAGTTATCTTCCATCTGTTGATTCATTCCCTGCAACAGCTAGGGCTGGGCCAGGCTAAAGACAGAGCCAGGGACTCCATCCAGGTCTCCCACATGGGCAGCAAGGACCAAGTACCTGAACCGTGATCTGCTGCCTCCCAAGTGCTCCTCAGTAGGAACCTGGGGGGCTGGTGCTGTGGTGTAGCAGGTTAGCTCCAGTTTGAGTCCTGGCTGCTCCACCTCCGATCCAGCTCCCTGCTATGAGCCAGGGAAAGCAGCAGAGGATGGCCCAAAAGCTTGGGCCCCTGTGCCTGCGAGGAAGACCCAGATGAAGCTCCTGGCTTTTTTTTTTTTTTTTTTTTTAAGATTTATTTGAAAGGCAGAGTTACACAGAGAGAGAGACAGAATCTCCCATCCGCTGGTTTGCTCCTCAAATGGCCAAAATGGCTGAGGCTGGGCCAGGTCCAAGCCAGAAGTCAGGTGCTTCATCTGGGTCTCCCACGTGGGTGCAGGGGCCCAAGCACTTGGGCCATCCTCTGTTGCTATCTGGGGTGCATTAGCAGGGAACTATATCAGAAGTAGAGCAGCTGGGTCTTGAACCAGCGTGCATATGGAATGCCGGCGCTGCAAGTGGGGACTTCTATGCTACAGCGCTAGCCCCGTAAATTAAAAAAAAAAAAAAAAAAAACCAGGGACCTGGATTGGAAAGCAAAGCAACCAGGTCTCTAGCTGACACTCTGGTACAGGATGCAAGTATCCCAAGTGGCAGCTTAACCCACTGCCCCACAATGCCTACCCCAGGTCCCAAGTTGTTGGTGCCAGTGTGATGTCCTGGCCTCGGTGGATGGACTCATCTGGGGCTGCCGGGACCAAGTGCACTCAGCTCTGCTTATCCACAGAGAGGGCATCTACGGATCCCCCCAGCTACGGGTGGAAAATAACCAAGATCGAAATGGCAACTGGACCAAGTGCATGCAGACTTTTCTTCTTGTCACTGTGCCCTACACGATGCCGCGTAGCAGCTCTGCACCTGGCATGGCACTGGGTTAGGTATCGCAAGTCACCTGGGGATGAATCGAAGTCCCCCGGATAATGTCTGCGGGCCCTGTGCAAATACGGCACTCTTCTCTAGAAGGGATCTAGGTCTGCAGATTTTGGCATCTGAAGGGATCCTGGGACCACAAACCGGGTGGCCCAAAGCCACACAGATTTCCTGTCTCGGCTCCAAAGGCCAGAAGTCTGAGGCCAAGGCACGCTCCCTTGGAAACCCGTGGACTGCAGGATGGCCTTCCCCAGCTCCCGTGGCAGCTGGCGCTCCTTGAAGTGCCTGCGGCACTTCCGCCTCCGCCAGCGTGGTCATCTGGCCTTCTCCCCGTGTGTCCTCGTCCTCATCCTACGTGGACAGCAGTCATATTGGATTAGGTGCTCGCCCTACTCTCGGATGACCTCATACTAAATAACTGCATCTGTGCCAGCCCTGTTTCCAAACAAGGCCACGTTCTGAGCCACTGGGGATTAGGGCTTGGATATAGTATTCTTCCCCTGCCCCCCATAACTATGGAAGGCCCTGGGCACCCCCAGTATAGTCGGTGTGTGGTGAAGGCGGTGGCAGGCCCTGTAGGCAGCCCCTGGGGGTCAGGTGGAGAAGCTGGGGTGGTCCCAGCTCCACACTTTGCCCCTGTGATCTGCCCTCACCAGGATCTGGAGGGGTTTCCTGTGGCCCCCTAGTGCTGTGGTTATGGGTGGACAACAGTAAATACACTCAGAGCCATCGGCTTGCACAGTTCTGGTGGGTGAATTAGATCTGAAGATTGCTGTTAAGGAGGGAAGCTAAGAGGGAGGAAGAGCCGAGACTCCTGCCTAGAGCGGCCAACCATCCTGGTTCTCCTGTGAGTGTCAGTTTTTAGCACTGCAAGTCCCGTGTCCTGAGAAATGCCTCCATCTCAGCTATACTGGGACAGGTTGGAGCAACCTTGTCCATACGGGCACTGGTCCATGTCCGGCCACTCCACTTCGGATCCAGCTTCCTACTAATGGCTGGGGAAAGCAGCGGGGGACGGTCCAAGTACTCGGGCCCCTGTGCCCATGTGGGAGACCCAGAGGAAGCTCCTGACTCCCGGCTTTGCCTGACTCAATCCTGGCTGTTGTGGCCATCTGGGGAGTGAACCTGGGGATGGAAGATTCTCTCACTGTCTCTTTCAGAATCTCTCTCTCTGTTACTCTTTCAAATAATAACAATTTTTTAAAAGTCTGGCTCTTGCTGCTCCCATGTTCCCTTTCTGCCCCATAACCCACCTTCCCCTCCCTGCACAGCCTCCTCACTGCCCCTCCAGGCTCACCCCCCCCACACACACACACCTACCTACCTGCATAGCCCAGGGGTGCTTCTTGATGCCATTCAGGGGTAAGACTAAAAACCACTCCAGCACGTGGTACTTTCTATCCCATGACCACTTATGAAGGTACTATAGAAAGTCTGTAGAAAAATGGGATTAAAGACAAGATTATTTTGGTGCAAAAATTTAAAAAAAAAATCCATGCATCGTTTTTCCGTAATATACATTTCCCATGAATCTTATGAAGATCCCTTGTGTGCATGGATTTCCAGCTTTTTTTGGCACTAAGAGAAATATATCTTTTAATGACATTTTCCATGTTGCTTTTTTAAGTATACTTGTGTTTGCGAATGACACACACACACACGAGAGAGAGGGACCAGAGTTGTGGTGTGTAGCGGGCAAAGCTGCCCCACCTGTGATGTCAGCATCCCATGTGGGCGTCGGTTCGTGTCCGTACTGCTCCACTTCCAAACCAGCTCTCTGCTAAGAGCCTGGGAAAAGCAGTGGACGATGGCCCAAGTGCTTTGGCTCCTGCCACCCACGTGGCAGACCCGGATTAAGGTCCTAGCTTTGGCCAGGCCAAAGTCAGGAGCCTCTCACGTGGGAGGCAGGAGCGCTGAGCCATCCTCCGGGCTGCGTTCCAGGAACCGTCTGCATTCGCAGGGAGCTGGAGCCAGGCGCTGCAGCCAGGACTAAAGCAGGCACTGTGATGTGTGGTCCCAGGCCTCAAGGGGGGCACAGAGAACCCTGCGACAGGGGAGGAGCATGCGGGGATTACTGTGTGTCCGCGGCGACTCGGCACGCGGCTGCGTGAATGCGCTAACCTCGCCACCCTCCGCGGGACTCCGCGTCCTCGCCCGCTGAGCGCACCGGAGCGGGGCGGGGCCAGGTGCTGCGGGGCGTGGCTGTAACCCGCGCGGGGCGGGGCCCACGTGGATGACGCAAGGGCCACGCCCCCACCTTGGGACAGACCCGGAAGCGGCCGCTGAGCTCCTGGGGGGAAGATGGCGCCCTCAGGGCTGAAGGCGGTGGTGGGGGAAAGTGAGTGCCTCCCCCGGCGGCGATCTGGGGGTCCCTTGGGGGAGGGGAGATCCGGAGGCTCACGGACCTGGGGACCC